GAATTCTCTCACCTTGCCCTTCTCACCCTGGCAGGCTACAGAATAACATCCATGTTTCACCCCAGATTGTCCCCACCTCCCAGCGGGAAGGAAATGGCTTCAATGGAGCTGGCTCGGGTAAGGGATTATGAGGGAGCTGGTGGTGGGTTCTCCTTGGAGGGAGAGGAGCAGTAAATGCATAGGAGCGTGGGAGCTGCTATGGGTGGTGGGAGGCAGTCTGGGGGGCTTCTAGGAACCGCTGTGCCCGCTGGCCCTTCTCACACTGCTTTGCTGGAGATTCAGCCAGCCTCTCCAGGCCCTGTTATCACCCAGCACGACAGCAGGTGGCAGCATGCTCCCAACTAAGCTACCTGAGTGCTTTACCTAAGCCACTCAAGGACAGATAGAAGACAACAGCCAATTTCCCAGCTCCCCAATCTTGCACACCTGCTGTAGTATAAATCCAGAATTATTTCCTCTTATGGTGCAAAGGGATCTGTACAATGTGAGCTCATTAATATAGTGACCGTCCCCTTGATATGGGAAAGATATGCACAACAAACTTGAGCTCACCAAGCTGGGATTTGCCCCAGACACATCACTCAAAATACACTGATTCAGATAAAGCATAAAAGAAATTTATTAACTACAGAAAGATTTTAAGTGACTGCCATTGTTAGGATTCATTTTGTACTTAATATACTTTTAATAACTTCCTTCTTATTTTCATTGATTGGTTGTTGATTTCTGGTAGCTTCCCTTACCAATTTTCTATAATTCTGACCTTCTAACTTATATTCTTTACTATTGACTTCCCCATCCTTCCATATATTTTATTGGGAGAGTGTTGGGATTCCTACCCAGGGGCTGTCTCTGGGCCCTGCTGGAGGCTCCATGTCCTATAATCAAGCACTGGCTAGTAGGATGTGATAACTGTGAAAACCCTGCCTCCATCTGTCAGCTGGGAGACACAAAGATTCTCTCTTTCTACCCTCACTCTGATGCCTCCTGGCTGCTTAAGCAAGGTGGGGTGGGACTCGGTTAACATGTGCCTCCTGGAGCTTCCATTTACCTGGTGCTGCTGTTCCCTAAATAGTGGGGTTGTGACTGGGACAGCAGGTACTGAGGGTTGGACTCTTGCTCTTTCAGGGGCCGGTGACTTTCGAGGAAGTGGCTGTGTATTTCACCAGGGAAGAGGGGGCTCTGCTGGACCCTGCTCAGAGAGCCCTCTACAGGGATGTCATGCAGGAGAACTATGAGACGGTGGTCTTGCTGGGTAAGGAGTCCTGTCCCCTCGGTTATTAGAAGCTGTGGGGTCTCTAAAGAACCTGAGTAGTAATAACTTTATACCTTTATTCATCATACAAGTTTTGACAAGTTTCCTTGCCCCACGTTTGTTGCCTTATCTCCACCCACTAGTATAATTTTTGGACATGTGCCTTTTTGGTGCCGTCAGTCATTTTAAAATTGCATTTAATGTATCCTTATTGGCTACATTAATAACTACATTAATAACTGTAGCTTTCTTGCCTTTTCCTCATTTTAAGAGGAAAATATGCTGCCTGTAGAATTCTAAATTGAGTAAATAGGTGTGTGACTCATGCATGGCTTGTGTGACAGTCCGATGAGCTCCTCTTTTGATAGGAGAGCGTCTAAAGTTGCCATTCAGGACCCCACGGGTGAAGGGAGAACAGAGCTGTGGGAGGGGAGGAGAAGCAGGGGAGTAGATAATTCTGGGGTGCCAGGACACGGGGAGGGTGTGTGCAGGGTTAGAGCTAAGAAGCAGCAGGGAGGGATGAGGTAGTGAGAGATGAGGAGGGAACACAAGAAGCTCCCAAGGTGCCGGGAGGTGGTGCCGGCTGAGAGTAATGGGAAGAAGGGGAGGGGAGTGTGGAGGAAGGGCACCCAGGAAGTGGGCTGGGTGGGTCAGTGGGTGGAGGAGAGGTCTGGGGATCTAGAGCTGTGAAGGATCCCAGACCTTTAACCCCAAATCCCTGCCCAGGCTATCACCAGCAGGAGAGTGAGTTTGGGGGGGGGGGGCGCGGAGGGTGAGAAAACCTGGATTTGTGCTGGAAATGGCCCAACTTGATGATCACTTTAGATAAGCTATTACCAGCAGGAGAGTGGGGTGGGAGGAGGTATTGTTTCATGGTCTCTGTGTATATTATGTCTTCTGTAGTTTCCACGGCATGCATCCGATGAAGTGAGCTTGTAGCTCACGAAAGCTCACGCTCAAATAAATTGGTTAGTCTCTAAGGTGCCACAAGTCCTCCTTTTCTTTTTGCGGATACAGACTAACACGGCTGTTCCTCTGAAACCTGCCCAGGCCTTGTTGGTTTAGAGCCTACACTCCAGTTTTATTTCTGTTCAGTTTCACTTCATTCTACATTTTCCCCCCAAATATTATTATTGTAACTCTTAAGCTCCCTCCACCACTTATTCACCCCTCCCCTACCATATAACCTCCCCATTTCTATGCACAGCGATCCTGGCCACCAATCCTGAGTCCTTGCTGCATTCCTCCCACCCATAGCAGGGCCCCTACCCAGGCACAAATGGGCACTTTGTTGATGAAGTCACAGGCTGGTAGTGTAGCTGGTAGAAGTACTAAACCTATAAGATTATGCGTGTGGGCTGCATGGTCGTCCCTCCTTATCACTCTCTGAGGGAGACCAAGCCTCCTCACTGTCACATACCTGTAAAGGTGAGGTCAAAAGGAGGGAATTAGCTGTACTTAGTGTCCCATCCTTCCAGCCAGGCAGAGCAATAGAGAAGTCTATGAGCCCCAGGCCCTCGGTCTGGGCACGGCAGCAAACAATTAGTAAAATCTGACCTGCAATGAGGGCAGAGCGGTTAAGCATTCTGCAAGCCCAGGTAAAATCGAGCACCAGCACAGTCTAGGGGCTCAGGGAAGGGTGAGCACTAACAGAGGCCTCCTTGGCTAATATGGGGAGGCTGCCACCCCAGGAGTGGGACGGCAGGGGGACATGGGCCCAGCCGACTCCACCACGTCCCAGCCCAGGTCCCTAGCAGTGGTGGAATGGCCGTCCATTGTGGGGATCTGCCCCACAACATGCTTACCTAGAATTAGGCCCGCACTTAAGCAGATGGTTGTCTAGTTCCCCCAGGCTACTTTCCACATCCCCTGGGTTTGGTACCTCTATTACATGGGGGTCCTCTGTCTTCCCGGGCAGCTCTGGCAAGTCCTCAGGTAGCATCCCCAGCAGATCCTCATCATCTCAGTCAGCCAGCAGCCCGGAGAGATTTGGCCAGTCCCCAGGCAGCAGCCCAAGCAGCTGCTTAGTTTCTCGGTTGGCCAACAGCCTGGGGAGATCTGGCCAGCCCTCAGCCCAGTGGGGACCTTCTTCAGGTTCCAGCAGCCAGTGGGATGCATCTGTCTCTCTTGGCAGCTCCTGCCCAATTGAACTGCAGGACCCGCCTTTTGTACTTCAGCTTCCTGTCCGCCCTTCTGCTTCTGGCATGGCAGATGTGGCTTTTCTGGTTCTGCCCACCACGGGATGTATTGCGGTCCTTCCCTGTTACTCTCTGAATGTGGCCACACCTCCTTGTTACAGGCTACTCAAAGTTAATGAGGAGATTAAATTTGGTGAAACACACAGGGGAAACTTGATTTAATACAGACAGTTATAACCGAAATCATAAGCAAGGATCAATATACATAATGATTAGAGTAAGATAATTATAGGGAAGAGAGTCCTGCATTGTTCATACTCACCATCTTGCGTTGTGCATACTTACAACTTACAGACATCATTGGAAACAAAGATCGAAGGGCAGGTGAGCCCATGAGAAGGGAGGTGCTGATTCAGTTTACACTGTCTCAGGAACCCATCAAACCTGAAAAAATGGTAACTGGGTGAGGTATTTTATGCCCTTCCTTGTGGTAATAGTACAGATATATATGATATTTTCTCCTTTACCCTGATTATGATAATGTCACTAGTTGCCCCTATCCATATGTGGCCTTTGGTTCATCACATCTGTCACCTTGCCATCACATTTTTCACTTTGCTGGTGTGTTCTACCTTTCCCACCATTCTGTGTTTTCTTGTCTGTTTAGATTTTAAATTCTTCAGGGCATGGACCATTTACTAGTCTGTGGTTTGTACCTAGCCTAGCACAGTGGGGATCCATTCTTACGCCTTGTCTACACGACACAGTTTTGTTGACAAATGTCAGCTTTGTCGACAAAACAGTGGAGGTATACACTCTGCAGCGCTCCTCCTGCTGTTTTAACTCGCCTGTTATGCCAACATAATAAAGCCACCTCGACAAGAGACACAGAACTTTTTTAGACGAAGTTAGAGCGGTGCAGAGTCAGTGTAGACACTGTGCTCTCTTATATCACCCTAAGTAGCCTCCAGGAGGTATCCCACAACGCCCATCATGACCGCTCTGGTCAGCAGTTTGAACTCGGCTGCCCTGCAGGTAGACAGGCATGCATCCCTCCCATTTAAAGCCCCAGGAAATTTTGAAATTCCTCTTCCTATTTGTTCGGTGTGGAGAGTTCTCATTGCAACTTCCCAACTGACCATGGCGGCTTTCCTCAGCAAATGCGCTCCTACCTGGCGTACACTGGAATTGTCGGGTCTCTGAGGAGAGGAGGCTCTGCGGCTGCAGCTCCGATCCAGCCCTAGGTATTTGAATACCTACGGGCAGATTGCTCATGGCATGAAGGAGAAAGGCCATGAAAGGAACATGCAGCTGTGCCATGCTAAGATCAAGGAGCTGAAGCAGGCATACTGGAAGCAAGGGGGGCAAATCATTGCTCTGGTGCAGCTCCACACACCTTCCACTTCCACAATGAGCTTCACGCTATCCCAAAATTGGGATATGCATGCCATCTATCGCCCCATCACGGTTAGGGGGTCCCGTTGCCAAAAAGACATCCACTATTTCCTGTTCATTGTTCAGAGTCACCGTCCTTCATAGCAGGAGGCAATTAATAGCCCTGCACACTTTTGCATCATCACAACCCCCACAGTGGACTTCCTAACTCCGAACTGATTTGCAACTGACTGATAGCAGTCTGGAATTGCCAGCTTCCACAAAGCAATCACCACTCACTTCTCCACCTTGAGGGCAGCGCTCATTCTGATGTTCTCGCACTGCAGGGCAGAGGCCAGCTCCACACATGGTTCCAGGAAGGTGGCTTTGTGGATCAGAAAGTTCTGCACCCACTGCTCATCATCCCATACATGCATAACAATGCGATCCCATCGGTCAGTGCTGGTTTCCTGAGCCCAAAAGCAATGGTCCACCATGTGCAGCTGCTCCAACATCAATCGTGAATTGTTTCTTTCCATGGCACGCTGCAGGGCACGCACCACGGATTCACTTTCAGATTTGCAGCTCATGAAATACTGCAGGATCAGTGGCGTGTTCATGACACGCATCACAAAACTAAACAGCAGTGCAGGATCCATGCTTTTAGGCAGATATGGTGGGTGTACAGATTACATGGGTTGTTCAAAAATAGCGCAAAATGTACTGACCTGGAAGCCCACAGAATGATGGGATGGAGAACACGGCATCATGGGCGAGTGAGCCCGCCCCCACGATGCACTGCAATCCATTCCCAGAACTCCTAGCTACAGAAGGCGGTGAGTTGCACAGTGGGATAGTTACCCACAGTGCACTGCTCGCTCTCTCGATGCTAGGGCACCAACTGAGGGCTCACTTCACTGACACAAGGAGTGCTGCATGAACATGCACAAATGATGTAATTACAGTGGTTTATGATCATCAATGTAACTTAAGTCAACTTAACTCTGTAGTGTAGACATAGTCTCACTTGACCCTTAGTCACAAAGGTAAATAAATATGGTTAATAATAATAATAATAATAATAACTATCCTGCCACTTTGAGGCAAGAGATCTGGCCTTAGGATGTTACTGCTTAAAAATGAGCTTAGGGTTAATCTTTGTGACAAGTATCCCACAAATCTCAATGATCTCACTTCTTTTCTTTGCCTTGAGTAGGGTTTCCAGTTTCCAAACCTGATGTGATATTCCAGATGGAACGAGGGGAAGAGCCGTGGGTCCCAGACCTTCAGGGCTCTGAGAAAGAAGCGCTCCTGAGAGCTGCCTGCACAGGTGAGGAATTGATTAAACCAACTCAAAAAGTGTCTGGGAATGCAGGAAATATTTGGGATGCCCTACAAAGACCTTGTGAGCTCTCCAAGTTCAGGATTGTTCCCAGCAGGTGTGGAATCTTTATGGCAGATGTCACTCAGGGCTTCCCTCCTATTCTGACTGCCGACTGGCAGCAGGTTGCTCCATGATCTCGCTTTCCCCTGAGAGTTCTAGTGAGATGTGGACCCAGAACTGATCCCTTCCTCTCTTCTCTGGGGAAGGGATTGGGGAAAATCAGCTCCTGATAGGTTTGATCTCTCCCACAGGTATTTTGGTTTATTGGCTCTTTCTTCCATTCCTCTCTCTGAGATTTCCTTTCTTTCTGGTGCAGGGAGTGACCTATGTCTGGATTCTCTCTGTCTCCCATCAGTAGATGGTATGATGAGTGAGAATGAGGAGGATAATCCTCAGGAGGAAGATGCTGACCAAGTAGAACCACATGGAACGTTATCAGGAAGATCCAAAGGGAATATTTGCAGGAATTGGGCACACCCAGAAAAAGCAAAGAGACAGCACAGGCCAGAGGAAAAGTTCAGTAGCCAGTCAGACCCTGATACACGTGAGAGAATCAACTTGGAAGAGACACGCTACACATGCCATGAGTGTGAGAAAAGCTTCAATCACTGGTCTGCCTTCATAACACATCAGAGAATCCACACTGGAGAGCGACCCTACACCTGCCCTGAGTGTGGGAAACGCTTTAGGCATCGCTCAACCCTTATTAGACATCAGCGAATCCACACAGGAGAGACACCTTACACATGCTCTGAGTGCGGGAAAAGCTTCAGTCACCGGTCTGCCTTCATCACACATCAGAGAATCCACACGGGAGAGCGACCCTACACCTGTCCTGAGTGTGGGAAACGCTTCAGGCACAGCTCAGCCCTCATCACACATCAGAGAATCCACACGGGAGAGCGGCCCTACACGTGCCTTGAGTGCGGGAAAAGCTTCAGTGATGGCTCAGGCCTTATCACACATCAGAGAATCCACACCGGTGCGACGCCCTACACGTGCCCTGAGTGCGGGAAAAGCTTCAGTCGGAGCTCAGCTGTTCTCACACATCGGAGAATCCACACTGGAGAGACACCTTACATGTGCCCTGAGTGTGGGAAAAGCTTCAGTCAGAACTCAACCCTTCTTAGACATCAGAAAATCCACACCGGAGAGACACCCTACACGTGCCCTGAGTGCGGGAAAAGATTCAGTCGGAGCTCATACCTTGTCACACATCAGAGAATCCACACCAGAGAGACACCCTACACGTGCCCTGAGTGTGGGAAAAGCTTCAGTCAGAGGTCAAACCTTCTTAGACATCAGAAAATCCACGTGGGAGAGACACCCTACACTTGCCCTGAGTGTGGGAAAAGCTTCAGTCAGAGGTCAAACCTTATTAGACATCAGAAAATCCACATGGGAGAGAACTGTAATAAATGCCTTGACTAGGGCTGGCCAAATATTTTTCTTTTTAAAGTCACATTTGCTAGTTCCCACATAGTGATCTCTGCACCATGTTCATCATGGCCTCTCAGCTCCCCCAGATCAGTTGTCTCCTTCTGCCTTTTGCAGCTCACCCTTCTTTGGGGTCAGTCCTGTGATCTTTTCTATCAACTCCTTTCCCTGTGAGTCGTAGGAGTGTGTGTCCCTCCTGCCAGGAATATTAACCAGCTCCAGGTGGGGGAGAGAGGTTTGATCTGAACAAGCTACCTGGAGGCAAAAACTACCTGTGCCTTACATCCACTAGGATTGTACGTGGAGTTAGCTACTCAAGTTAATGATCTTGGTGTACAAACACAACTAAAGTTGCAGAGCAGATGCAGTCCAGGTGCAGTGGTTGGCATTAGCTTTTCCCTTGACCTGACCTACACGCCATCAATTTTTCCTAGTCTAAACAAACCCTGAGCATCACAGTTCTACTCTTACCCCATTTCAAAGCCATTGTCTATTTCCCCGTTTGGGGACAAATTGTCTCATTCCCAGTTCGCTCTCATGTTGCTTCAGGTTGTGCTGGAGAGCAGAAATCTTCTCTACCATTTTCCCCACTTAAAATACATTGAACTATAACAAAGATCAGGAACAGGAGTGAGGAAAAAATGTTGTTTCACCCTCTGTAACATCAGAAGAAGATACGATGAGTCAGAGGGATTCACTCCTTCTCTGTAACTATCATAATCCCCCCTCAACCCAGCTTTAGTTTCTGTGTCAGCCATAATAGTGTTTATTCTCCCCAAATGCAACCTCTCTGCCTCCCAGAATGTCATGTGTTCGCTGCTGTCTGTGCTAGGTGTCACACTTTGATTCTCCATCAGTCTCACTGGGGCTGGAGGTTCACGAGTCACAGTGTTGGAGTGGAAATATGAATGGATTGTTCTGTGCTTGTAATCCCTGTTTCTGTCTATTGGCATAGATGCTTCTGACCTTTCTCCTGCTGATCTGGGAGTTTTGTGTACAGATGGGAAGGCTGGCTGTTTTTCCCCATTATGATGCTAAAGTTCTTGTAAATTACATGACTTGATAATAATAAGGTGGTGTTGGGTGAAGAAGGTTTAAATGCATCAGAGGAGAAATCAGTGTGAGATTCTGTTCTTATTAAAAAGAACAGGAGGACTTGTGGCACTTTAGAGATTAACAAATTTATTTGAGGATAAGCGTTCGTGAGCTACAGCTCACTTCATTGGATGCATTCAGTGGATACAGACTAACACGGCTGCTACTCTGCATTCTGTTCTTATTGTGAATCATCAGATATAACCTGCTCTGGAATTTCATTTCATCTGAAACCAAAAGTGTCTTATTACTCCTGGGGGAATTCTGCACCACTGCGCATGTGCAGAATTCATGTCTGTCATGGAATTTTTTTTCCTGCAGAAAATACATTCTGCCTGACAAGTGTTGCAATTCCATCTTTTTCCCGTCAGAGGCTAGTGTGGCATCAGAACAGCCAGAAGCATGAATGCACCCTGCTATTCTGGCACCACAGCGTATTTTCTTCAGGGAAAAAATTCTGTGTGCGAGCAGTAGTGCAGAATTCCCACAGGAGTAGATGTTAATCACAGCACCCTGCCCATTAAACCAGGTTAGGACAGAAGAGTGGGGCACACACGGCTGCTGCGGGGGGTCACAGACTGGGTTCAGAATGGCTAGTGGGAGGACAAGACAGGGGCACGGGCTCAGGAGTTAGTGGGGAGACAGCATTGAGCCAGAGGCTAAATGGGAGTAGGGGTGCAAGGCCACATGGGACAGGGGAGAGGGGCTGCAGGGACACATGGGGATGGGGCAGGGTGCAGGGACAGGAGCAAATGTGCCTGACTGAATGGGAGCAGCTTGAGGTCAGTCAGGGTCAGCATGGGGAAGGGTCTCCCTAATATTCCCTGCCTCTCCCCCCCAAATACCTGTTCCATACTTCTCCCACACACACCCAACAACCCTCCAAGTTCACTCCAGGCTCCTTCCCTTTCAGTTCCTCCATTACCCCTGACTTCCCCCAAGCCTTTGCACTGCTTCTCAGGGGGTGGGAAATAAGTTTCTGTGTTGTTGCTTAAATGAAATACTCAAAGTTCTGTATTAATATGCCTAGTAAGGAACCTATTTGTCAGAAAAAATTACCAGAACTATTTTTGTCTGTATTGTTACAGACATACTTGCTGATATGTATTTTGAAATAAATTACACAAATAATTCAAATTGGCATGATTATATTGTGTTATTTTGACAAATAAAATACGCAGAATTTTGGAGATTATTATTATTATTTTTTTTGGCTCAGAATTACTCCAGAAGTATCTTATGCCCCTCTGTGTTGTGGGTTTTTCTTTCCTGGATGCTATTTGGTTACATAATTGTAGACCAAGCTGGATGAGCAAGCATCTCAGAGAGGTGATTAAGAAAAAGCAGAAAGCATTCAGGGAGTGGAAGATGGGAGAGATCAGCAAGGAAAGCTGCCTTATTGAGGTCAGAACACGTAGGGATAAAGTGAGACAGGCTAAAAGTCAAGTAGAGTCGGACCTTGCAAAGAGAATTAAAACCAATAGTAAAAGGTTCTGTAGCCATGTCAATAAGAAGAAAACAAAGAAAGAAGAAGTGGGACCACTAAACACTGAGGATGGAGTGGAGGTTAAGGATAATCTAGGCATGGCCCAATATCTAAACAAATACTTTGCCTCATTCTTTAATAAGGCTAATGAGGATCTTAGGGATAATGGTAGCATGAAAAATGGGAATGACGATATGGAGGTAGATATTACCATATCTGAGGTAGAAGTGAAACTCGAACAGTTTAATGGGACTAAATTGGGGGGCCCAGATAATCTTCATCCAAGAATATTAAAAGAATTGGCACATGAAATTGCAAGCCCATTAGCAAGAATTTTTAATGAATCTGTAAACTCAGGGGTTGTACCGTATGACTGGAGAATTGCTAACATAGTTCCTATTTTTAAGAAAGGGGAAAAAAGTGACCCGGGTAACTACAGGCTGTTAGTTTGACATCTGTAGGATGAGGCAAAGGACACTGCCCAACGCACGGTGGGGTTAGATTTTGCTTCTGGTTGCATGCTTTTGCCTGCTACTGCCCCAGCTCAGACCCTAGTGCAACCCCACCTCCAACCTGCTGGCAAATCGCCCAGACCTTGTCTGCAGCCACACACATGCAGAAGCAGCTTCCTTGCATCCTTGATTATCCTTAGGAGTGAGATATCAGCTGCGATCACTCCTGCATGTGGAGAACGGTGCCGGTATTCAGTACAATAGCCCTATGCACTTGTACGGATACCCCAGGGCTGTCTCCCCCTTTCCCACACCTCAGGCCTTACTTACCGTGGCTGGGGCTCTGTGACTCCCAAGGGAAAGTGAGACAGCTGTGCTTATAGATGGTTTGGCTCAAGGCGCGTAAGTGCGCTGACAATAGGACATCTGTCCATTGTTCGTTTCTTAAGCAGATGTAGCCTTGAAGGTCTCTTCACGCACACCGGTGGTGCAGCTTGGCCAGATAAGAAGGAGAAAGAAGAGGACTAAAGAAGACACTTCCCAGGAGGTGCTGCAAGCCTCTGGTGCTTTGGATTGTGAGCAGACAGCTTGGAGGGTGGCAATCAAAGACAAAATTCAGAGGGAGAGTGAGGACAGGTAGCATGGGCAGGAGGAGATGATAACGCTGCTCAGGGAGCAGACATGCTGCAACCTCAGACTGAACACATCCGTGCTTGCCTCCCGCTGCAGCCCATGGAGAACCACGCTCCAGGACCTCCCTACACCCCTTCCCCCCACCCACACAACACTATCCATGTGTCTTCTGGGACCGCAGCAATACCCCAAGCAGGTGATTACACACAATGACACCTGCACATACACCCAGCTGTGAGAGCCTTGTTGGCATACATGCTTGTGAATCCCTTGTTCCTTCTCCTTTCTAGGTACTTTCCCCTGTATGTATGAAATTTACCTCTGCACTGGGATTGTTTAGTCTGCAGAAGAGAAGAATGAGGGGGGATTTGATAGCTGCTTTCAACTACCTGAGAGGGGGTTCCAGAGAGGATGGCTCTAGACTGTGCTCAGTGGTACCCGATGACAGAACAAGGAGCAATGGTCTCAAGTTGCAGTGGGGGGGGGCCTAGGTTGGATATTAGGAAAAACTTTTTCCCTAGGAGGGTGGTGAAGCACTGGAATGCGTTACCTAGGGAGGTGGTGGAATCTCCTTCCTTAGAAGTTTTTAAGGTCAGGCTTGACAAAGCCCTGGCTGGGATGATTTAGTTGGGGATCGGTCCTGCTTTGAGCAGGGGGTTAGACTAGATGACCTCCTGAGGTCCCTTCCAACCCTGATCTTCTATGATTGTATGATTCTATTATTCTAACCCCAGTTTTACCTTAGCAAAGAAAAGATATTTGACATTGTGCTAAACTGCTCCTGTGCCCTGTTCCCAGGGTGTTGTGTAGCAGGGGAGGGCAGAGGGCTAGTGTGCGTCCCACTGGCATGTTGGGGTGTTGCTGAAACTGGGCAGAGTTAAGGTTACACTGTGGGGGTGACGTGAACCGTAACTCTTCATTTCCCCTTCTAAGAACCGAGGGGACGGGAATCCTTACCCAGCGAGGTCACATTCTCGTAGTTCTCCTGCATGACGTCTCTGTAGAGGGCTCTCTGAGCAGGGTCCAGCAGAGCCCCCTCTTCCCTGGTGAAATACACAGCCACCTCCTCGAAGGTCACCGGCCCCTGAAAGAGCAAGAGTCCAACACTCAGGACCTGCTGCCCCACTCACAGCCCCACTATTCGTGGGGAAAAGGAGCCGATCAAATGGGAGCTCTGGGAGGCTCACAGTCAACAGAGTCCCACCCCCACCCCGCTCAGAGCATCCTGGAAACACCAGAGAAAGGGGACAAAGAGAGAAGCCCCTTGTTTCTCCCAGCAGATCCATCACACACCTACTAGCCAGGGACTGATACAGGAAATGGAGTCCCTAGTTGGTTCAGAGCGAGCTCCCAACACCTTCCTCATTTTGAGGAGCTGGATACGGGGGGAGGGGAATCTCCCTGAGCCTCACTGCTGGGTACCCCCATCTCTCATAGCAGAAGCTGGTTATTCGGGTCAGGCTCCAACACTGGAATCTGGCCAGTTTTCCTAGCCCCATCTACGTGGGTTGTTTCCTTTTCCACAAATCAGGGGATTTCCACCTCCAGACCCCATGGGTCTGTTCCTGGAATCTAAGCCACATATTAAACAAGTCCTGGCAGGTTTGCCACACCCTGGCCTCCTCCCTTTCTCCACCTGTGTATTTCCTGTCCCGCTCCAACCTCCAAACCAGACGGGGCAAAGCTTCCCACCTCCTGTGTATTTACTGCCCCTCTCCCTCCTGCAGGAACCCACCAGCAACCCCCCGATAATCCCTACCTGAGCTGGCTCCTCTGCAGCCATTTCTCTCCCCTGTCCCATGGGAGGACGGGATCAGCTGGAGCGAAACGTGGGCGTCATTCTGCAGCCTGGCCGGGCGAGAAGGGCCGTTGTGGAGGTTTAGGAACGGGCTTTAGTTCATTTCACATCACGATTCCCCCAGGCCCTTTTCCTGCAGACAGACAGCCTAGATTCTGCCATGCTGGGAAAATGCTTGTTCTCTGTATTACAGTTTAGACCAGGCCCCTCCTGCCAGGCTAAGCCCACAGAGACATTTTTAAGCCTCCTCAGTAAAAAAGACTCTGAATAGAAAGCTAGAAAAAAGCAGAACCAAAGGAGGGATGCTTCTTTAACAGGAAAGGGAAGGCCTGGAGGGTCCAAAATAGGTAAGCAATTTCCATGCCCTGTCACTAGCAAATAATGGCCACCATGGATCCACCCCAGAGGTGGCTGCATCTTAGCACTGTGGGAAGCAACCCCTCATGGACAGCATTTGTCATGGGGTTTGGGATACTTCTGGACCCACACTGAACTCAGAGAGACCTTCTCCTCCCATGCCAGCTGGAGGGAAGAAAAGGGTCCAGCCAACTCTCCTGTTAGCAGCTGGGAGTCACTGCTCCCCCAGAGAGGGAGGCCTCTGGCTTCTAAGTGTATTAAATATGTGGCTGTTCTCTTTCATTGGCAAACATTTTAACAGAACTAAGAGCGGAAACAAATGATTCTCAGAGGAGAGGGGAAAGAGGAGCATTGGGCAGTTTAACCCCCTGCAACCTCCAGGATGGGAAATAACTCAGGGCAACAGGTTTCCTCCAAAAAAGGAGACGTTGCTGGGATTTATAAACATAGGGAACCCCTCTTTCACCGTGCCTCAGTGGGTCACAACTGAGAATACCAAATTCAGGACAAATTGCTGAGAAATAGGGCAGACACACCCCAGAACTGCTGGTTATTCTTCTACAAGATGTACCAAACCAGCAACAAAAGTAAACTTCTGTGTCACCACACTGGGTAACAAGAAGTCAGAATTGCAGCCTCCTTAGGCATTCCAGTCCTGGATTCAACACCCAGATACTAGACTTAATGAGTGGATATTAAAGACCAATTTAATCAAGTAAAGGGTTCTTCTGAACCCAAAGGACCAGCCATGTACCTAGGTTAACACAGAACTCAAATCTTACCCAATAATCACGCTGTTGCCAGTGATTTAGTATCTAATATCTAAATGTCTATTTATAAGAGAAAGAAAGAAAGGTGAGTGTTAAAATTGGTTAAAGGAATCAAATTCATACAATAATTGCAAAGTTTTTGGATCAGGTTTGAAGTAATAATGGCATAAATTGCTGGCTCAGCCCCTTGGTTAGAATGCTCCCATTAGTAGAAGTCCATAGTCCAGAGATCAGAGCAGGAAAGTTTGCTGAAATATGCATCTAACAAGATCAAGTTTAGGGTCACATGGTTTAGCTGCATGCATGCTTCGCTGAGTCATAGAGGCCATTGCCCATACCCTAGCTAGAAAGTTCACAAGAAAGAAGCTTCCACCACATGGAAGAAGCCTGTGGTCCATTGTGAGTTAAGTGTTCTTTGATGGCCCATCAACATGCTGGCTAAATACCTTGAGGGTGTTACCCCAGAAGCAAAGATTTGAAATACGGGTACATGGTTAATATTTATAACTTTAAATACAAAAATGATACGTGCATACAAATCTCATAATTATATTCAGCAAATCATAACTTTCCCATTGACACCTTACATGACGTATTTTAATCATATAACGTCCCTTCCCGCCCCAAACTTGAGAGGATTT